GGTTGTGACAAAGTCTTCCACGTTTGCTGAATATATAGCGTTGTCAGTAACTGATATAAGCTCGTTACGTGGTAACGTTTTTACAACATTCGATACTCCTGTAAACATTTGTGAAGATAATTCAGGTGCTGTAACTATTGCTAGGTATGGTAATTTCACGAAGAACCCGAAGCATATTCAAGTACATTACCATTATGTTCATGAGATATGTTAAGAATGGAACAATTGATATTGTTAAAGTTAATTCGGAAGATAATGTTGCAGACATTCTCACTAAATCGTTAGGAAACATTAAATTCTTTAAATTCAGGCAAATGTTAAATATAACTTGATTTGATGTGCCATACTTGCAGTGTTGTTAATTTTTTATTTACTATTGATTACTGCTGCCGTATAAATCTAAGGAGGCGTGTTGAGGTTCTGTACCCATAGATCAAAGATTTATACTGGCCGCTTAGTTTTGTTTATAACTGTACGATGACAAGCATTGTTTTTCTATGTTGTTTCTCCATCGTCTAAATATGTGGTTGTTCAATTTCTGTTCTGGTGAATATATTATATTGTTATAACTGATATTTATCGTCTTCTTCGCCATTCCAAACACTTACATACAAATACATTAAGTAAATGTTGATACACTAATACATATAAAATCTATAGTAAAATTAAACTATGAATAAATATATCAAACTGCTGATTCTGGTTTAGAGTAACGAATAGGTACGATTTTTTTCATATCTCTATTTATATTTATAAACGTAATTTATAGTTTTTGTTCTACTTGTCCAGTTACCTACCTAAAGAAATAAGTGACATTACCTACCTATCGAATTCGAAATTACGACATTAGTTTCCGACAACCATAGTAACCAAGAGTAACATGCAATATACAAACAAATATATACTTAATGTATATATGAGTACCTAATCATATAAATATAATCTATTTTCCCAATAAGAACTAAGAATAGGTACTTCAGATTTATTACCTGATATTGGAATTCCCTACTTCACCACAAATAATAACCAATAATACGATCATATTCTGGAAAATACTACGAATAGCAAAGTCTGATAAATCTAATCCACCGAAAGTGTAATACTTTATTAATTTACAAAAAAAAATTATATTAGAGCGTCCTACCGATGGTGTAATATACTAGATGTATCTTAGGTATGTATGAAATAGTTCCTAAAGCCATAATTCGATTAAACCCTCCCTACAATGCAATGTTTAAGTAGACACAAAATATAAACAAAATGTTTTTTAATACATTTAAAAACAATAGGTTCGGTAGAACAAAGATTCACTTACTCATACGTAAATAATTCTGTAGATTTATAAATATATAACAGAAAATACAATGCAATGTAAGCAACTAAAAAAATTATAATAATGTACAGTTTCTCAGAAAAAATGTTTTTAAGAGGAATTTCTTCTATTTCGACCATTTATCCTTTACTTTGGGACATAATAAATTTAATTTATTATCCTTTCATGTGTCCATGTGCAGATGCTTACAAAGAAACAGAGTTGGCTCGGTCAACCCATTAGTAAGTAGTAGTGGTGGGAAGTACCACTCTTCTGATTGGCACATTTGACTTTACGAATCATATCGTGAATTATTATTTTCGTTAAGTATTTTTTTTATACAAAAGCTATTTTGATTACATCATTTGTAGGCATTTTTTTGTAGGTATAAAATACCTTTGATAAATTTTAAATAAAACAAAAAATAGGGAAGTATGTCCACACTCGCGTTATTTGCGTATAGCCAGCCTAGATGCTAATTAACAATTCTTCGTTTGAAATTTCAGTTCCATGTTTCGTTCGTTATGCATAAACTAACTCACTCAGTTGAGAAACTTATCAATTAAAAGTCACTCACTAGTTTTGGCGAGCGAAATTGCCGACGCTACGGGGGCTCATGATCACTTTGCTCATGTTAATTTATGTGCTTTGTCGCTTTGTCCACTTCACAATAGCCGCATTTTTATTGCCATCGGCTGCCGGACACCCAGATTAACATCTACTGTTGGTTTTGGCTTTCTCTAGTTTTGTGCAACACAATAGTAACCGGGCACCTGGCATAACTGGCCTTCGGGTAATGGATATTTTGAATTAAAAAAAACTTGTTCATCTATCAATCTCTACGTAGGTTGTAAATGCTTACAATTCCGTAGGAAAAGGGTAATTAAAATTGTATTAAATGAAAATCCAAGTAAGACAGATAAATTATATAGCACTAAAATAAACCTTATTTATCAATACATAAGAAGTAACTACAAACTTACAATTCCGTAAAATAAAAAAAATGCTTATACATTAAGCATAAAGTCCAAACTTAATAACATATCTAACCTATTCGTTTTCGATACGCATAGCGTCTTCCTCCATGACTCCCGATGGCGCTAAAGAATGGTGAAGTTCTCCATGAACTCTGACTCTATAGACACACGTGTAGACAGAGTGTCCCCAATTTCCCATCACTCGTAATCGCACCATATTGTAGGGTTTAGCCGCGGGGTGTTGCACTTCGAAAAACTGAATCGGTGGGCCATCTTTGTCGTACTGGAAGCTGCCGAAGTCGTGAGAGGTAGTGCCTCCTCGCTTCTCCAACCCTTCCAATAGAAAAAGTCGTGGTGCTGATGATATTTCTCTGTTGAATCAATTACAGTTTATTTATAAATTACTTTACTGTTGCAGTAGCAATAATAATAATAATAATAATAATAATAATCATCATCATCATCATCATTTATATTAATGTGCCTAGTACCTCATACGTAGACTTCTTACAACCTACACACCTAGTCACAACATCTACAAAGTTTATGACACATGTACACCTGATGTCGCTATCTATAATTATATGATAATAATGTGTCAACCACACCAATCGCCTGGTTTCAAACTAGGTAATTCCCTACATAATAATTATGAATACCAATATTAAATAAAAAGATTGATGTATCATTGAGATTGTTTGTGAAATAAGTCAAAAAATCTCTCACTAGATGTCACTAGCGGCGATGAATGCCGAAAGCGAGTATAAAGATCTATAACAATAACACATAGGAAAATTTCGACAGCTCGGTAACATGAGCTGAGGCTCAGTTGGTAAGAGCAATGCTACGGTGCAGCACGGTCGTGGGTTCAAGACCCGCCAAGTCGCAGAAATTTTTCTATGTGTTCGATCGTTGTATTTATAATAAAAATATTAAATAAATTAATTTTAGTAGCAGTAGAGCTCCTTGTGAAAGCGTTCTTCCAGGAAAGTACTACCACTTACTTACTTATTTCAACCGTCAAGAAGTAATGTGAACATTACTGCGTTCCGGTTTTGAAGGGTAAGGGTGCTGGTGAAATTACAGGCACATGGGTCTTGTCAACTTATGTCTCAGGGTGTCGAGCGCAGTGGCAGTGTCCCTCAGATCTTGGTGATCTAAAGCTCTGAGTGGCACTGGAACTGTTATTTACAGGCGTTTACCATCAGGCGCACGACTTGTTCGTCCCATACCTTAGTGTCATAAAAAAAATGAAAACATCGTAAGCTGTAACTGCCTCCGTGGCTGGACGGTTACCATGCCGGACTGCCACGCAGAAGTCCTAGGTTCAATTCCCGGGTCGGGAGAAATATTTGTATGGCCTACATTTATTTATTTCGTGAGTTTGGGTGTAATTTGTGGTTGTCTATAAGTGTGTCCATGGCACCCGCGACTCAGGGTTTCCCTAGTGCGGGGCTATGTTGCGTGTGTGCGATATTATTATTATTATGTAACTTGCATTTGAGCCAAGTATTGATCAAAAGTATCTCACATAATAAAAACTTATTCAAAAAAGGTACTCACTTAGTAGGCGACATATGCGGAGGTATATGTTCAAGACTGACACCACTCACATAAACGGTGCCCAGAAGACGGATGGTAACTTCACCTTGATTACCTTTGAAGGCCCAACATTCCCCAGGTAGTGCTCCTGGTCGTATGACAACTCGTGCCGAATAGCATTCATAGCCCCGGCATGCTAGCGACGCTAACAAATGAAGTAAATATCCCACTGATGATTCGTGTATTATATGCTCTATAGTGTTTCCCGTGTCTATCACCCGACCACCGGCTGACTCTAGAGCGAAGTCTACTATCTGAGGACAAAATTCAGACTATCGTAAAGCAGTTTTATATATTGCAATTATTTTCTACATTCGCAAGCACATCAAGCTTGACACTTTGCACCTTGCACTGTTCTTATCGTAAGCGGCATAGAGGTGGATTTAAGTCTTAAGTGTCAAGCCTGACGTGCTCTTGACCCTGTACAAAATAATTGCGATGAAATTTGTAAAAGTTTACAACCACTCATAACTTATCCTTACGTGTAGCGAAGTAATCAATGACAAAAATATTTTAGAACGTAAGCTAAATTCTCACTCATTAAAACGAAATTAGGCAACTGATTGTGAACTACAGTGGCGATGGCGTACGGAGGGTGTTAAACATTTACTTTGTGTAGTAACGGAACTACATAGTAAGCAATTGGTTTGCAAATTACCTCCTAATATAATCTGAGTACAGAGTATTAAAATATTGCATTAGGTAGGTAGGCTGGATAAGAAAAATATTGCATTAGGTATATTCGTAGATCTAAATAAGGCCTTTGATACCGTAAGTCACGATATTGGAAAAAGTAAATAACATTGGCATAAATGGAACAGCTTATAACATGCTACAATCATACTTATGGAATCGTAAACAGATCTTAAAAATAAGAAACCATCAAAATCAACCTAAAACTATTAGTTACGGCGTCTCCCAAGGGTATATTATGGAACCTTTATTATTTTTAATATATATAAATAATGTATTTGAAATTGGTCTTAAAGGTGACGTCACTCTATATCGACGCCGGAAAGCGATGTTGTCGTATTTCGAAAAACAGGACTTTAAACCAGGGCCGAAAAACTGTTTCAAAAAATTATTTCTCTATAATTTGAATTAGTAGAAAGTCAATTTTAAAGTATGATTATATACATCATCCGTAAAAATTGACTTTTACTAATTTAAATTAAAGAGAAATAGTTTTTTGAAATAGTTTTTCGAACCCTGGTGTAAAGTCCTATTTTTCGAGATACGACAAGATCGCTTTCCGGCGTCAATATGCTGATGACACATGCTTATTTTACTTTGGAAGTTCTATAGAAACTATTGCTGAACCGCACAGTGATCTTAAATTACTCAATGAGTGATTTCAGTATAATCTTGTAACTATTAACGTTGCTAAAACAAATTATATAATTTTCAAACTAAAAACAAAAGAATTTCGGATCATGAACCATTAACTTTAAATAATCAAAAAATAAACAATATCGACCGTAAGAAATACTTGGGACTCGTTGTTGATAGCAAACTGACGTGGAGGCCTCATATTGAAAAGATTATTTCTAAACTATCGTCTCTTACTGGAGCCATAAGAGGTATGTCTGATGTCTTTCACACAGGCTGCGTTATTTTGTGTACAATTCTTTAATTACAACATTGACTATCTGATTGAGATTTGGGGCTCAGCGGCAAAAACAAATTTAAATCTAATAAAAAGAGCACAAAACAAACTAATAAAGGTACTCTTTCAATACAATTACCTCACACCTAATAAGTGTATATGAAAGAACAAAAATTTTAAATGTTTGCCAAACATACATTTACTATACTTGTTTATTGTTACGTAACATTTTAACTAGAAATATACACACTCAAATAAATTTCACAAGAAAGAAACAAATACAAAAAATGCCATTAAGAAATGCAAATTATTTGGTACTGCGGCCATCAAGAACAAATTATGGTAACAGAAATATCTTATATGAGGGAGCTATATAATAAAGACAGATGTATAATAAACTTCCCATGGATATTAAAGAAACACAATCCCTAATAACATTTAAAAAACTTCTGAAATATTACAGAACTACGAATATTGAATGACACAATAACAATTATCTAAGGGTAGCAAATATATGGGGAATGAAGAATCCATAAAAAATAAATAAATTTATTTATTTATTAAAATATAAATTAAATTAATTTTATTATTAAAATATTAATTAAATTAATTTAATTATTAAAAAATAAATTAAATTAATTTAATTATTAAAAAATAAATTAAATTAATTTAATT